GGGGGGGGGGGCGGAAGGTTGAGCGCGATGAAAGCGAGAAGGGCTTGGGGGACATGTAGTTGGTTGCTACAATCATGGGAGATTCTAAAACGGGGGTCTTCAAACCTGGCCCTTTTATGACTTGTGGACTTCAACTCCCAGAATTCCTCAGCCAGCGTGGCTGGCTGAGGAATTCTGGGAGTTGAAGTCCACAAGTTTAATGAAGAGAAGGACGAGAGGGGACATGATAGCAGTGTTCCAATATCTCAGGGGCTGCCACAAAGAAGAGGGAGTCAAGCTATTCTCCAAAGCGCCTGGAGGCAGGACAAGAAGCAACGGATGGAAACTAACCAAGGAGAGAAGCAACCTAGAACTAAGGAGACACTTCCTAACAGTTAGAACAATTCACCAGTGGAACAACCTGCCTCCAGAAGCGGTGAATGCTCCAACACTGGAAGTTTTTAAGAAGAGACTGGACAGCCATTTGTCCGAAATGGTATAGGGTTACCTGCCTGAGCAGGGGGTTGGACTAGATGACCTTCAAGGTCCCTTCCAACTTTACTATTATTATTATTATTATTAAGTCATAAAAGGGCCAGGTTTGAAGACCCCTGTCCTAAAATAACAAACATGGAAAAGGTTTTGATTTAAAGATCTCCAATCCTGTGTAAAGGGAACTCCATCCACCCTTGCCGTGTATTACTTATCTAGGCCAGGATTTAATTACTGTACGGTTGGTTGAAGGAGACCTAGGGTATACAGGTAGTCCTCGACTTGCAGCAGTTCGTTTAGTGACCGTTCAAAGTTACAACTGAAACAAGTCATTGGTGACCGCTTTCCCACACTTACGACCCTTGTAACATCCCCGTGATCATGTGATCAGAATTCAGAGGCTTGGCAACTGACTCAGACCTAGGAGGGTTGCTGTGTCCTAAGGTCATGTGAACACCTTTTGCAATCTTTTAACAAAGCAAAATGAACGGGGGAAGCCAGGTTCACTTAACAGCCGTGTGACTGACTTATCAACTGTGGCGTTTTGCTTAACAACTATGGCAAGAAAGGTCTTAAAATGGGGTAAAACTCACTTAACAAATGCCTCACTTAACAACAGAAATGTTCGGCTCATTTGTGATTATGTCAAGGACTACCTGTACAGTTCATGAAAACTCTGCAGCCTTTCTATTCAGGCAGTAGCACAGCACACCAAATATCAGTTTGTTATTAGACTTGAGTGCAAATAGCTTGCAGGTAAGGTTGTCTAAAGGCCTACTTGCATTTCCTACAGTAGGTGAGATTCCCTGCTTGAATCAGCTGGGGAAATCTGTCTTGTCTTAAGCACCTGATGTGTGAAAAAGGGGAGGGGGGAAGTTTCTCTGTGGTTGCAGTCTTGACTTCTCTATGGTTAGAAAAATCAGTCTTTCCTACTCCTTCCTAATATTCTGTCACTACCTACTACCCATATATTTTATACCGGTACTTGTTCATATAAAAATATTTTTTCTGATATTATAGGGTTTTTTGTCACCTAGTATTTTATCATTCTGTTTGGGGATTTTTTTCTGAAAAACAGAAAAGTAGATATATTTTTTTTTTAATTTTGTCATACATGTAAACAATATTATTTTTGTTTTAGATACCTGGAAGGCAACCCTTGTTCACAATGTATAGACCAAAAGTAAGCCTTAAAGACCGGCAACAACTTTACAGGCTTATTATTAGTCAGCTGTTATATGATGGATATATCAATATTGCTAATGGTCTGATAAATGAAGTAAAGCCACAGTCTGTCTGTGCACCCTCTGAACAACTGTTGCATCTTATTAAACTAGGTAAGTTGAAACATCTGTAAACAAAAAGAAGATGTTACAGTAATATCATTTTATGTGATGCAAAACTTGGTTATAGTTCTTTCCATGCTGAAAACCATTATTTTAATATGACCTCTCCCACCTACCATTAATTAAATATCATGGCTGTGCAGAGATTCGGAATCAAAGGACAAAATGTAATTCGGCTGTAGGTGACAACTATAAAAGTCCAGAAAAAGATGCAGCTGCTTAAGATATTTCCCAATGGTTCTACATATACACTTTGAATTCACATGAATCTAAATCTCTGCACCTCTAGCTTGCTTATTTGATTGATTGATTGATTGATTGATTGATTGATTGATTGATTGATTGATTGATTGATCAATTGAACCAACCATCTCATGTGATTCTGGACAGCTTACAATACAATAGATAAACCAAAGGCAGTGCAAAAAGTGAAAACCCATAGTAGCCAGGAATCATAAAACCCATTATTAATTTAAGCAAGAGACTGCCACTCAGGCCACCAGACTCAGGCACTGAAGCAAGTCTTTGGTTCTGTCTTCTAAAACAATGTTAAGCAATATTCCAACCAATTGTCCAGTAATGATGTAATTCTAATTGACTTTTAGAACTTTTTCTGAAGTATTTCTAGCCTTCTGACTTTAAATGGTTGCCAGTCTAGCTGTAATGTCAAACTATACATTGGTATAACTATAAAGGTCCCTCCTTTACCTTCCTTTTTCCTACTGTTTTGCAGATTCCCAGACTACCTTTTTTATTGGTTTAAAATTTTGATTTGCATGGAAATGAACGACGTACTATGATTTGCACAATAAAGAGAAGAAAGTAATTCAATTGTGGGAAGGAAAGAGCACACAAAGCAAGTTGTGCTCATATATTCTAAAGCAATACTTAGCTTTATGTTTGAATCAAATCAGTGCTAGAAGAAATAATCATTTTTATTTGATCAGCATTCTCTATTCAGCTTATCTATAAATATTAAAATTCTATGCATTAACTTTACACTTAACTATACCTTTTATAAGCTTCCTGTAATTTGTAATCTACAGTTATTTTGATGTAGTCTAAAATTGCATTTGCTTCTTGTACAGCCACATGGTACATTATTGAATCAACTTCGGTTTATATTTAAAAAATAAAGTTTGGTGCATTCTCTCTTCTAGGAATGGAAAATGACGATAGTGCAGTTCAGTATGCAATTGGACGCTCTGATACAGTAGCTCCTGGAACAGGAATTGACTTGGAGTTTGATGCAGATGTACAGACTATGTCTCCAGAAGCATCTGAATATGAGACGTGTTATGTCACATCTCACAAAGGACCATGTCGTGTAGCTACCTATAGCAGAGATGGACAGTTAATTGCTACAGGATCAGCTGATGCATCAATAAAAATACTTGATACCGAAAGGATGTTAGCAAAAAGTGCTATGCCCATTGAGGTAAATATTGAAGTAGTATGAATCCATATTGTTGCTTCGGCTCTTTGTTGATCATCTGCTGTTCTCATAAAGAGATGCTGAATGCTGCATGGAGAGACTGTTCGGCAACCTTCAGAATTCAGGCTCTAGTTATTTAAAAAATTAAAAATACGTATTTTCCTTAGATTTCAATGAAGGTCTATAAGTTTATAGAAAAACTATAGTAGGAAGTACAAATAATTGCAGATGTGGTTGTGGATGGTCTTTGAATATTCACTCTTGCTGGAGATGTGGGAAGGATTAAGCTCCCCTCTGTTGTTCACTTTCTGAATTTAAATCCTTTTTGTAATGTCTAAACAGAGCTTTATTTCTTATTTTTCCCTATCCATTCCCCTGTTCCTTTCACCTTACTGCCATCCAGTTTTGTTCTTCACAAAAAATTCTTTGTACAAATTTTTGGGGAGAATTTTGATCTACAAAACTTGTTTTCAAAATAGTTAAAAATATGTTCTGAACTTACACAAATGGTAGCATCCAATGGTTCTTGGCTGATTTCATAATTGAGGCAGGATCGGCCTTAGTGGTATTTAGATCTGGAAATTCCAGGATTGTTGGCTTGACTGGAGAATTGAAAGATACTCTGGAAGAAGGCAATAGTAAAATGCTTCAATAACACTTTCAAAAAAGATGAATGGATGTGTCAAGATTAATTTGATAAATATTATGGCTTATGCTCTGGGAATAACAGAAAATTTCCCCCAAAATAATTTCTTTAGAAAAAAATCCATGTTTATTATTGAAAAACATTCTAGACAAAGTACATTTCTGAATATGCGAAATAATCATATTTTATATTATTTACCATATAAGCCAAGTGGGCTGCCAAGATTTTGAAAAATGCTTACATGGCCATAATCCGCCATGTGAGAGTTTAAATGTATGTTTCAATTTCTTTTTCTCTAATGGGTTTGTATTAGCTTACTTTAAATAATAGGGTCTGTATGAAAGAGAATTAACAGTTGTGAAAAGGTGTTGATCCACTGTGTTGTTTGTTCTTTAAACTCTCTGCAAAGGAAATTAGTTGTGTATTTACATGTATTTTATTTTATATATTTAAAAGACTATATTTAAATGCTGTACTTTTAATTTTTACAGGTTATGATGAATGAAACAGCTCAGCAGAACATGGAGAACCATCCAGTTATTAGGACTCTTTACGATCATGTAGATGAGGTCACCTGTTTAGCTTTTCATCCAAATGAACAAATCCTTGCGTCTGGATCAAGAGACTACACTCTGAAATTATTTGACTATTCAAAACCATCTGCCAAGAGAGCTTTCAAATATATTCAGGTCAGGTTCTCTAATCACACATTTCTAAGAAATATCATCATAAGAAAACATTTGTCTTGCTGGTGTTACCGAATATAATTTTTAGGTAGAAGGACATAAATCATACTTGATGTAACTTTTCAGACAGTTTTTTAGTTCTTAAATTATGGGTCAAGCATAATACGTTTTTTTTTCTATGTAGTTTATTTTAAATACTTGGAACATTGAAAATGAATGAGTACAAAACAATGAGATAGTTGGCAAAGACTATAATATGATGTTTTTCTGTCAAACTTTTTTTTCTATTGAAAGCTCATCATTATCATCCCAAGCTGCTTGGTGGCAAAATGTGTGTTTTCTATAATCATACCCTTTTGTTTAAAATCTTAAAAATGTTTTAAAAAAATAAGTCATGCATTTTTAGGGAGAAAAATAAGTTTCTCTCCCCCCCTCCTTTTTTTCAAATCTCTATCAAATGTATACTTGTACTTGTTCACACTCTGTCTTATATTCTGTCTGACCTGTTCAGATACTGTAGCAATGTCCTTCTCTGAATATGAATTCATTTTATAATAGTGGTTGATATCTAGATATGTTACAGTTATAGGATAGTACACTCTAATGTTCATTGTTTGATTTCCAATTAAACAGGAAGCAGAAATGCTGCGCTCTATATCTTTCCATCCTTCTGGGGATTTCATACTTGTTGGGACACAGCATCCTACCCTGCGGCTCTATGATGTTAATACTTTTCAGTGCTTTGTATCTTGCAATCCTCAAGATCAACATACAGATGC